AATATTTCTTCAAAAACGACTTGCCAGACAGTAGCCGTTCTCGGCTAATAAAGCAGATAAGGAAAGCTATATTTCACGGTTCGCGCGGGCTCCGCGAACGACCGAAATGAGGCGTCCGACGTGGGAAGTGCCACAATTTATACACAGCGCCCGGGTATGAGGTGGCGCAAGTTGCAACCGCGGTTGACAAATTGGAACCAGATAACCACGTTGATAATACGCGGCATTAGTTAGAATTAGTGGTGAAGGTAAGGTGAGGATTCGAGACAGAGAAATGGCCGCATTGGTTGGTTAGTAACTATCAAAATAGTAATTACAGGTTTTTTCGTCTTTTTTCGTACTTATCTATAAATGAAATTATATTAGTGAAGCCTAGGTCTTCTTTGTGGAAGGTTGACACAAAGGACATCATTGTATTGTAACTGAGATCTCAGTATAAAATCATCCTCCGTTACACGCAGTAGGTATACCTACGCACCGTTCATTAGCTACCTGAGCGGATACATTTTAGGGATTTCCATGTAGGCATATATTGGTTATAAGTTCATAGACAAGTTTCAGCAGACAGGAGGTAATCTGAAAGGGAGGTTATCAGGAGTCAGGACCAAAGAACAACCCTAGCAATTGCAGTTTGAGCCGCGATAGAGATTTTCAACGTTGACCTGCACATTACTGGATATAGATTCCCAGCGCTTTCAAGTACGACCAACTAGTTTCCCTAATTTCATCTTGCTGGGAGGCGGAGACAGTACAACCCGCTACATGTCTTCCCTTACGCCTCTCCGCTAGTTACAATATTTTACAACGAGCAGACATTTTTATAGGTATTTAGCGAAAACGTCTCTCCTACAGGCAATTTGCAACTTGTTTGCGTGGCTTATAAATCGAGGCGGGACGCGAATTATAGCCTTTATGGCACTGACGTCAGCGCCTTTTATTTCAATTATTATTTTGGTTGTCGCCCGTATTTTTATTTAGTTTTGGCGATCGTATCTTAAAGGTTGGCCGTTTAAGTGTGGTGAAGATGTGAATTTATTGAGGTAAGGTTACAAGGTGTTAGGGACAGGTGGGCAAAAACTAAAAATATAATCTGTTTTCACAAAGTTCAGTTACTTGTAATTTTAAATAATATTTATTAATTGAGAAGTAAAGAAGATGTTTTTTTTTTTCACTTTAACCACAAGGGTTATAAAAGGGATAACTGTTATTAAAGTCTAGCTACTTGTACTACACATTCTTTGTAATGCCTGTTAATAACAGAATGCAAATTTCATATTTCAATGTTAAAAAAAAATACAACAATTAAATTAGTTCTCAAACTCAATTGAACGTAAGCACTCGATGATCTTACTACTACGACTTATTTTGTTTCATGCGTGCTACGCGTGCTACGAGTCTACGAGCATGGGTCGTAGCGTAGCAGATATTATCAACGAGATTTATGCTTACACACAACGCCATCTTTTGACGAGATGGATGGTCGTATTACTACTGCAGTACACTTTTTATTACCGCAGTTCTGGCTACTTTATTATAAAGGTCATCGCAGTTTATACTTGTTAATGTCTGCGACTAGATAGGACGATAAAATACAGTCGTCGCACGCACTGAAGGTTTAACTGGCAATTCCAAAGCCAACTATACCAACTAAATGTATAACGTATTATCAGATTGAACGTGAGATAGTAGTAAGAATTTAACACCCTTACAAAAAGAAATAAAACCAACAATCTCACCAATAACACTAAACTACACAAGTTTTAAAATTAAATGCTTTAGTAACATTAGATGTAAGGCATACTGACATTTTACACAAGCAAATGTATGTCAACAGCCAGGTCATCAACGAAATGACCCATTTGGAAATGTTACTATGCACCAAAATAGATAACCTACATTTTCAAAGATCAAATTTTAATATGCTCACACCTACAGCGTATGAGTATGAACCACGTATCTTCCTGAATATTTCACGCTAACACCGTTAACATACCATCTATTATTTACCGCACTCGCGTAGACGTCTTCACATTTTAATATCCCTAAAAAACACTGACGTATTTCAAATTTACACCGGGTTGTTCCCACTACGGCACTCGAGCGTTGAGCCTCGGCTATATTTTTGGGCAATATCACATTATGAGGCCCAGTGGGACGGTGCAACTCGATACACGCGCTTCAAGCTCTTAGCGGGGCGAGAGGATCGCGAAAAATCACTCGAGAGTCGCCTTGGTACAGGGTTTCCCAAACTATGGGTCGCGACCCATTGGTGGGTCGCGAGCGTACATTGAGTGGGCCCTGCCTGTAGAACGACACACCACCCTACCGATCCAACCGCTGGGCAGCGGGCGAAAATTGTACTTAAATGTTCTTTGAAAAGTCCTTTATTTAGGTATATTGGTAATGGTTAAATTTCCTATACGTGGGTCCCGAGTTTGGGAACTTGTATTAGATGAGTCGTAGCCCTGACAACTTTGGGAACCACTGCCTTGGTAAGAAGAGACGGCTATCTTCTTCTTGTCGTGTCAACAACACACCTGTCACCTACACAGGTCAGTCGAAAACTCTGCTACAAGTGTAGCGTAGTCAGTAGCATTCATTAAATCTTCCTGCGTGCAGTGACTTGATCACGACATCATGATGTGTTTCATCGACTGGGGAACACAACCACACTTGCACTCCAAGTTTTCATCCTGAGAATCCCCACCTGAACAAATAGCAGATGGGTGAACTGATGAGGCCTATGACTATGATATTTTGCCTTCGTTTAAAATAAATACTAAGACCTTAGACATCTTCAACTTTGCCCTGCCCTACTTGTTGAGTCTTTATTAGCGGACAAACTAGATTTTGAATGCTAGAGAGTTACAGCGGTGGAAATAATAGCGGGAATTAATAGACCCGTAGGCTTATTGAAGACTATATTATATACTTAGTAGGGAATGATAATCGTCTCTTGAATAATCTTATTAACATCAATTGTGGTGACATAACTAGCCTATTGCTTCAAAGCTTAGAGCTCTTAAGGTCTAGGCTAGGCAATAACTCTATCTAGTAAACCATCTTATCCCCTCACAGGGCTTTCAACCCATATTAATACCACCGAACCTTGGTTTGATAGTGAAAAAGTAAGTGTTTGTTTTAAAGTATCAATTTTATGACAAGAATCGATTAATCGATAAATGCAAAACTAAAACTAATTAAATACCTACTACACTTATGCAACTACTTTATAAAAATCTTATTTAAAAACTGTTCCAGACCCAATTTATTTCTTTCGAATATTTTCACAGTAAGAATGAAAATTTCAACAGAAGTATGCCAAGTTTAATATCATAAAATATTTTAATACCTGTCATTTTATTCCACTGCAAAACTTATTACATCACGTGAGCCACTCACAAGAAAATTGAATGAAATATGATATTACTAACCCGATGAAACCTTTCGAGCATGTATCATTCCACATAATATCGGTTACGACATAAAGTAATTTCAAATTCAATTCAATCGCGGTCGACAAGCGAAGACATTTTCCAAACACGTCGGCATAACAAATTTACGGCGAGCGAGATCTCTCCCTCGCTCGTTTTACATAAGGGCCACAATAGAATAACAACATAATTCGGAGAATGGGTAAAATAACGTGACAATATTACCCTGACGTCGGCTGTCATGCGTCAAGCCCTTCAATGCCGCTGTTTGATGTAAAATAGATTTTTCCCGCCCTCCCGGCTCCCCGTATCGAATTTTTATAAGACCCCTTATGAGCGGTAGGTTTTCCATTACAGTGTGTCTCAGAAGCCTTCGGGGATGAAGGCGAATTGAAATTTTTAAAACGTTCGGAGCTCTATATTGTTTTACTAACTCGATTTAATACTTAGGAAGTGACAGGGATATAGGGAAGTGTTATAAGCTATTATCGGAAAATTTAAGTTAAAAATGTTGCCAGTTTTTTTTAAAACAATGCCAAAGTCGTCTAAGAACAGACGAATATTTCTATTAATTTAATCATAATTTAAGTAGGTAGATCCCAAAGTACAATGAAGCTCACAAGTTCCCCATTTTCCATTACAGATCCAACTTAACTCTACATTAAAACATCCCTCACCTACTATTACAACCTACTTCGCTTAAATATTCCCGCAAAATACAAGGTGGAACGACGAGCACTCCGCATTACAAGTACTTCCTCCATTATAAAAAACCCCATCAAGTTAGGAAGCGGCTAACAAAGCGGCCACAAACCGACACGAAAAAAGCTAACAACATTCGTTGAAAATAAAAAGGCTACGCGAAACGCCGACGACACATTCGGAGCGCGCCGACAGGCGGCGCTGCGGAAGGCTTTACTACTTCCGGTGACAAGATGGCCGGGCATTCAGCGCGGCCGGAAACTGTGGCGGGCGCCCAAACACGATAAAACACGTCCCTTTCAAACGCAAAACTCGTTCTACTCTCCGTTTAACTCGCAACCTTACCGCCTGCAAATTAAAAGTGAGATTCGAAAGTGTTGAAACGCAACGAAAGGTGTTTCGTCCCCCAAAGGAAAGCAATGAGAATACGCCGTTCCCGTCAAGTGCGATCGGTTATTTCCCCATCGGGTATGATGTACAGTTTTCCGCTGTCAATGATAACGCGTAATGGGCGCCGTTTGCCCTTTCATGACCGAATGAACAGTGACTAAACAGTAACACAGATTTTAGTGGGCCATCGAGTGGGGGAGATAATTTTGGTTTATGAAACGGCTGAACTTGTACAAATTCAGTCAACGATATTGAGGTCTAGACATTAAGGTTTCCAAACACGCTGATATATTTTTCTCTTCATGCTTTTATAAAGAACTCGACATTTAGGTACGTTCCATCAAGAAAAAATTTTACCGTTCAAAAGCGTTTACCAAGTAGAACCGAAACCAACTTGATTTCATTGCACACAAGTAGGTAAATGTATTATTTACGCAATAATTTATTGTTTTCTAATATTTTTACAAAATTACAATGTCGTGTGATTATTATTTTATGCAATGGAAAGAAACCCTAAGGAATTTGGAGAGTTTAGTTCTACTTGATCATGAATATCAGGTAGGGGGTTAAAAATAGCCGTACAATAAGTAACGAAATAAGGTAAAAGTACCAATAGCCAAAGAATAAGAAGACCTCAGGGACAAAAATCACTGCGTCCAATAATTTTACACTTCACCTTTTATTGGGCTTGTTTTGTTATAGATAACCAAAGCCAAAGACAAGAAACTGTGTGATGCTGTCATACGGTTATGTGGTATGCTCGGAGAATACATAGTGATCTACAACGAAGCGCTGGATTGCTTGCAGCACAATCTGCAGGTCCAGAAGACACCGTACCTGCTTGAAATTGTGAGAGCTGTTATTAACAGGTACTAATTATGTTCCGTGGGCAGACGAAGGCTAAAATACGAAAGATATTTAAAACTTACTTAGTGATTTTAGTTGGCATCTCATGGAAAAAGTTCATTCATATTGGCTAAATCTAATAAGGTCACAATCACAACACACATGCTAATTCTATATGGCAATCTGTCATTGATTTCTTAACTCACAACTTAATTTGGCTACCATTCATGTACGTAACGATGACTACATATTTCTCAAAAGAGCACTTTGGTACTCTACCTAAAACAGTCATATGAAAATCTGACAGTATTAAAAGAACATTCAAAGAGCTTAAAAGATTGTCTACCTAAGTGGGTGCCCTTAACTTTTGTCAATTACAGAATCCTAGAACTGAAACATGAGCTAAAGAAAGTGGAATGTACCAACGTACAGTTCCTAAATCATGGGTTAGCCAATCACAAGTTGACCACACATAACGTCGAGCTAGACGATGTCCTGACTCATATGGAACGACCGGATATTGTGAAAACAACTATCGCTGAAGCTTTTGTAAACGCTGAAAAGAAAAGGGAGGAGCTGAGGACAGGTTAATTTCTTTAATTGCGCTGTTAATATAAATCATCTTATGTAGGTAATTAAATAAGGAAAACTTACATAATAGTGTCTCGGATGGTTTCTTATTAGGCAGTACCTACTCAGCACATTGAGTAATAACCTACCTGAAATAACCAACAACGCTGCTCTTCAGGGTAGAGACTGTACGTGCCACTTCATTTATTCCACAATCTCTGTAATGCTCATTAGTTGCCACGGAATTACCTACTTAATGTAACAAGTAATTATAATTCTACCATCTGCCACCAAGTTATCACTGACATTACAAATGATACAGCAAAAGAGCATAAAGTATATGTAAATCGTCATTTATAGCTGAGGAAGAAGAAGAGACAGAGGATATTCAGCAAGGACCAGCCCATAACTGGTGGGATGAAGATGAGCTTGAAGAAGAACTTGGTGAAAAATTCGATGAAGAGCCTGAGACAGAAGAAATGATAAAAACCAGGCTAATGGCTTCATTGATTCAAGCACACGAGAGATCTAGGTGAAGTTATTTTTTATATCTTTAACAATTTCCATAATTTGGATATCCCAAAATCTTCTCCGCTAATGTTTGTAAAAATTGCTTAACTAACACATTTCGACAGACAAGTAATTCGTCAAATAACACATAACAAACAAAAGAGAGAGTTATGGGAAAAGGACTTAACAGGAACACTGAACCCACCAGCCCGCTTGGAAATACGTGAACGAGCTGCTAAAATAATACAAACAGTTTGCAGGTTAAGTATCTAGCTTATTAAATAGGTAGAAGACATATAACAAGTATGTTCCAAAATACATCTATCACAATATTTACTGTTGCAGAGCTTATTTCGAAATCAAAAGGAAAAAGAAACTTGAATGCAAACAAGACGAATTATTGGACATTAGATTATGTGGAAAAGCAAATGAAGCCTATATGAACAAAACTATAGAGGTATCTATAATACATGAAACGAGTACCTACCTAGGTAATCAAAGTAAATTGTATTTTATGTAAACTACTTAAGATTTATTCTTTTAGCTTAAGCAATTGACTTCAGAAAAGAGGAAAAAATTTGAGAAACAATGGCAAGTATCACGTGAGAAACTCAAACAAGATTTCATAAATCGTAGAGGAGATGATCTTGCGGAAGATTATCGTGATTTGGTTCGAGAATGGCTAAGAAAATGGTAATGAGTAAATTAATATCTTCCGGTTATAATATATAATAGAATATATTATATTTATTTGTAATAAATATCCTACAATATCTATTGAAACTTGCGAAAACAATAATCAGCATTCAAATTATTCGTGTAGGTTCGATGATATCCAATATTTTTACGATATACCCAATGACGACGAGGGTGGATCGATATTAATCATGAAAGAAGAAACTCCGGAGCCCACAGAATGGTGGGAATCGTACAAAACCTATTTAGAAGAAAAAAAAGCTAACAAAAACAAATCTTCTTATCAGGTATACATAGAGGGCACTTAACTTGAAATCTTTCCTAGTATTTAATATCATATGAGTAATGATTTCATTGTCAGCTAAAACAAGCAAAATTACAAGAAAAGCAAGAAGAGATGATGAGAAAAAGAGAAGAACTAATGAAAAAAAAGATTGAAGCAGAACTGATGGCAAAGATTATGAAAAATCCGACTATGCATCCAGGATTCACCTATCCCGAGTCCAAGAAAACTGAACACATATTAGAGGTACTTGATATGTTTACTTAGGTTATGTAAAGTAACGAGTAATTTTATGACAACTCATCTAAATTTTGCAATGTTAAGGTGATTGAACAGTATCGCAGCAATTGGGATGAATTAGATAAATCAGAAGCGTTAGAAGTTAAAAAGTTGTTTGTGATCGATGTTGATAAAAATAACGTATACGCAGACGTAAAACTGGGTATTATGCGGACTGTTGATGAAGATATGAGGTAAGGATTAAGATATAAAATACTCGTAAAAGAGAAACTAATTTAAAATAATGAATCCTTTTTATAAATAGACAGGAGTTGAAGGTGTTGAAGAAAGCGCTGAAAAAAGACTATGAAAACAATGGCGAAAAATTCCCAGAGCCGATGAAGAAAGCCAAAAAGCGACAGAAAAAGAAAAATAAAGTTAAAGCGAAAATGAGCGAGAGCATCGCTGAGAAAATGGAAGTAAGACACACGGAAAATATTTTTGAAACAAATCTAGAGTAAGTCATGCGAATGCCTTTTGTACCCTTTGCACCACCGGCCTGCACCACTGGTGGTGCAAAGGGTATTTTTTAATCCCTTTTGCACCACCAATAGTGCTGCCCTACCATTAACTGTAAAACGATTATCTATAATCATATAATATTAATATTACAAAGAGGAAAGATTGATTGTTTGTTTGTACTGAATAGGCTCCAAAACTACTGGACAGATTTGACAACATATCATAAAAATAAATAACAACCATTCATACCTACATATTTTATAACGAATAATATTCCTAAAGTACCAGGGCAACATAATCATAAAGGAGCTATATCAAATTCTTCTTGGTTGATCCGAGAAAAAAACATGTATAGCTCCTTTATGGTTATGTTGCCCTGGTACTTTATTCGTTGTATGTAGGATGTAGGTCCGGGGTATCGTGGGTTTGAAGTGAAATGTTTATAGGCACTTACACACACACAAATTAAAATTTTTAGGTAGGTTTGATTTATTTATAACAATTAAATTATTAAGTATTTTACAGTCTACTACTAGTTTTACAGTCGATGGTAGCACAGCACTATTTGTTGGTGGTGCAAGAGGGATTTAAAAATACCCTTTGCACCACCAGTGGTGCAGGCCGGTGGTGCAAAGGGTACAAAAGGATTCGAATGTATAGGCTCCTTAAGAGCATTTGACGATTTGCAAGAACTAATTTAATTAGTCTAAACAAATAAAGAAAATTTTGATTTTGATTTTGATTTTTGAGTCTTTGATACTGGTTTATTTATAGGACTTGGCTTTCAAAGGAATTCTGAAAGAATATCCTCCTACACAACTTGGTGATTTTCTAGGAGATCACAACTATGTTGGGGATGATCAGCGATTTAACTTGGAGTAAGAATAATTTATTCCTTATTAACTTGGAAATTAATTCAAGAATAAGTAAACCATGTAGGTTCTCGTACTTTTTTAGACGAGCCCTTCAATTTTGCGGCGAAGCAAGAAGCATTTGGTGGGAGAGGTGCCGAGAAGTCACACACGGCTTCCACAAAGTACTTCTTGTAGGACCCAGGCATAGCGGAAAGACTTTGCTAGTGCATATTTTAGCTACAATAACAGGTAATACAGTTAAGTTTGTTGATAACCATATTGTTATAAAATGATCAACGTCAGTGACTCAGTGTTTCTAATATACGAACTGGTTATACCAACTGAGGGCACAGTCCAGATGTCAAAATTCGAGCCTTGAGCCACCACAAGAATCAATATCAAAAACATAATATAAAACATACAAATTCTACAACCTTATGGTTATCAAGCAATGTATCTTATTCCCGTTGTTGACTGTCAACAACGGATCGCTGAAGATTGATAAACTTGTTATAATATTTTTCAGATGCCATATTGTTTGAGCTGGACCTTTCAAATATCCATAGCTTATCGCTAACTTCGGCTGAGTTGGGACGACTGATGAGTTCAATTATAACATGCACAAGAGTAGCGCAGCCGTCTGTAATTTACATTAAGCACATTCATCGGTTGTTCTATAGAAAAGTAAGATGCATGACTAAGAGACTCGTCCATCTTTTGGCCTAATGCTGATTGTATAATCTACATTAAATCACAAAGGGGTGAAAGAATTTCCGTAATTAGAAGACGAAAATGTAAAATAGATTTTATGAACTAAATCTATTTTACAGTTTTACCTACTATGTCGTCGGTGTTATGTTTTGCATTAAGGGGATTTGCCGATACTCGCCACGCTTGGCAGGCGGGTTGGCGAGCGCAGTTTTTTGTAAGTTTTACTAGTTTCACTAGTAAGCGCTGGACGCAGACCGCTGCCAATCGTTCAACATGGAAAGCATTGGGGGAGGCCTACCTATGTTCAGCAGTGGACGTCCTATGGCTGAAATGATGATGATGATGATGATGATGATGATGATGATGATGATGATGATGACCTACTGTGTAGATCAATAATGTTTCTGTACCAGATACAACTCTTCCAGGTACCACAAGAAGATTCTAATATGAAATTAGACGTGATGAAGCGTTTGATAACCAAGAAATTGTTGAAGAGGATTAATAAAAGTGACAAAATAACAGTCGTGGGTAAGCATCACTTTAAAACGACGAAAATCGGCGAATAAAGACAAATAGTAGAGCCGATATATCGTAGCATAGCCTAGAGAAAAAGCAATTAGGATCAGACATTTGAAATAATAAAAGTGACTCTCTTACCAGCCAGCTGTGTGGACCCGTGGCTCACGAAGAGTGGCCCTCTTCTGAAGCTGTTCCCAGTGGCTGTCTTGATCCCGGATACTTCGTACTCTGCTGTCTTCAGACTCTTGCAACGATGGATGAATGAGTATACTGCTCACACATACTAGATTAGATTGAATGGGCAAAGAATTTGTCATGATAATGATAAAACATTGTTCACCAATTACAGCAACCAATCAGTTCCTCGAGACCTGGATATCCATAGCCTAGCCTACGTTCTGCGAGGATACAGCTATGGACAACTTAAAGAGGGTCTAGAGAGCTTCTTGACTCCTGAACAAATCATCAAGTTAGTAACTTGGTATACAACTAAAACAGAAGAGAACGCAATTAAAACAATAATGTTTTTTAGAACTCGAGTACCTAATGTACACGATGAATAACAAAATAATTTCGCGACTTAGTACTATATGATATTATAAGTACCTCCTACTCGTATTATTATTACTGAAATGTTTCCAGAATTGCCGCTCGTGGACTTTTCCCTATGGAGATTTACAATTTCTTTTTAGAAGACGAAACTAAAATTAAAGTAGTGAGTATTTAGAAATAGGAACAATAACTTTATCGCCCAAGATAAACCCAATTGTACCCAGGTCTTTGTACGCGATTCGAAAGAGCAGGGTTAGTATGAAAATGCTACCTACTTGCAGGACTACGAAAAGTATCTGAAATGGTACTCAGAGAAAACGCAATGGGGCAAGAAAGAGACTAAGCACGTAGAAGAACAACGCGAGTTCAAACTGGCGGCGGATATGTATGCGCAGAGAGCAGAGAAGAAAAAGAAGGAGGCAAATGTCAGAACCAAAGACGAAGAAACCCTGGAAGAAACTGATGAATCTGATGATGATGAGTAAAGACGAGAGATTAAAATTGTGTCTTCTATGTTTGTTTGATTTGCACTCTAAAGGTGATCGATACACGCGATCAGCCGGCGTGCAGCGATGGCGACCAGACTTTTAAATGCATTGATCGTCATCACTGCACGCCGGATGATCGCGTGTGATCGCGTTGGGTTGGGCGAACCAAGAAGAGATTTATTCGACTTCTGCTGTCTCATTCAGTGCATTCTTCATGAATCGAGAGAGAGTCAAGAAACTGGTATCAAACCATTAAATAAGGATTCGACCTACTAGAACTTTGCTAAAGTTTGACTCTTTCGACTCTCTCTTTTCTCGGTTCTAGGTTCGATTCAATTAGGTAAATTAGGACATTGCGTACTAAAATTAATCTGGCTACTTATCTGAAATATGGGATTTCAAAATCAGGGATGGACAACGACAGGACTGCACCGAAATATTTTATGATTCTGTCAAATAGGTAAGTGTCTAATGACGGTTCATTGAACCTGATTCTAAAGTGAACTCATTTGTTAAACAACGCGATAAAATAAAAGAAGATGCAGTCCTAAAATGCAGTGCTCATGAATAAATTAACTTTTTCCAATACCCGTAAACCACCACCTACCATTTTCGTGCAGATCGCTATCTTTAATAAACGACAGCGCGGGTCGATCTAAACTCGTAACCAAACATGATTTTTATGCTGCAAACGGCAGATAAGCCCAAAATGGCGGAGGGCAAATAAAGAGGAGTGGAGTGACGATGTTACCAGAGATATTATCAGGCTGAGCGCTGGCGTGTGTTCGAGGACCGCTGAGCTGGCAACTTTTATTTCTTTATTGCGTAAAAATGCTAACTTTCACGGGCGGGGTAGGGTGACTATGATTTTGGGAATGCAATGTGACATTTAGGATATTTCTGCTTTTTCTTGTCATCGTATTATAAAATATTTGTTTACTTTTCCACGACACTTAACGACTGCGCTGCAGTCGTTAAGTGTCGTGGAAGAAGAAGAAGTTTTTGTGATGCAGAATTAGACTGAAATTCCTACTTACTTCCAAGGGCAGGCAATAGTGCAGCACATAGTTGTAAACTAGGTAATTAATACTGCAGATGAGCACGAAAATCACGTACCTACATAATAAACTCCATTACTACGCAGGCCATTCTGATCTAAATCATATAATTCTGTACCCCCAGTGAAAACGGAGTTAAGTCAAAAATGGTGATTTTTGGGAAATCGCATTTGAAGTTAAAAAAAATCCTGCTTCGTCGCTATTAGAGATAACTTGGTGAAATATTTTTTAGGTGAAAGGTAATGTTAGATATAATTAGGCAGTGTGCCAGTTTGGGAAATATAGCATGTAGTTTTTTCGCAATTAAATAAAAACCCAGTTATATCGCCANGAATCATTATACACAAAATAAATAATCTTCAATCGTGTAAAAAGTAGTAACACGAGTCGTACCTCTTGACACAATAAAAAATTGAAAGAAGCCTCCGGTACACTTTGTTAAAAGTAGACATGTATCAATATACACGAAAGGAAACTCAAAATTGGTTCACAAAGCCTTACTTGTATCATTTGGCACAAAATTATTTTCTTTTCTATACGTCGTAGAAACATACCGATTAGATACAAAAATAGCTAATTTTTCAGAGATTCACATTATGTTATAAAGTCAATTTTGATCTAAGTCGAGTTAGATCCCTTTTCACTGGGGGTACAGAATTATCCTCTTATAACGAGTTACTGACGAGCGACAGCTTCATCACAAAATTGCCGTATGAGATGTTTACCCAGGCCATTTACTATGTTCTCAAACTTTTATTACTAAGTTTAAAGCACTATAAACTAAGTTCCCACCAAATTCCTACCACTTGGTCACCCCACCGTCCACCCCTTTAATATTCGAGCGGCGTATTTGGAATTAATTTCAACCGTTTAAATATTTTCTGCGAGGGAGCGGACCTCTAATTATTGTTTGCCTTTCACTCCACGTCGGGAGGTTTGTCTAACCTTTTATTGAGGTGTGTTTGGGTTGGTACTGATTAATTAATTACTAAATTATGCATGTGTTATCGTAGCCATTATTTTGTGTATTACACGAATATAATCTAGTTTAATTGCTACTGGGGAATAATAGTGTGAATAAATTAGAAGAACGGATAAAGGGTATTATTAATTTATTTCAAGAAATATTTTTAATACATGCTACATTTAAGTACATCACAAAATAGGACGGATTTTAGAATAATACTTGTTAAAATAACATACAAATACAATAGTCAGTCTTACACATTTGGCTTAGAATTTCACATTTGGTTACAAACATTCGGTTATATTTTAACTATGAATAGTTACATTATATTTTACGAACATGTACTAATATTAACATATTATAATAATCCCCTTTCTGTTTAAAGGTTCTAAAACTCAACCTTGGATATTTGAAGGGTTAAAAAGAAATAAATTACAATTTAAGTATTGTTGTAAAAAAAATTCACAAGTCGTCACTATAAAAAAAAATTGATACTTTAATTAAAGGAACCCGTCGGTAACGGGGCCCTGGTTGCTTACCTTTGGAGTACTTTGCACCCAATGGCTCTGATGATGCTGCACTGCATATTACAATTGTGATGGGGGATACTACTATCCCCCAAATGTAAGTCCCTACGGACTTACATTTGAGCTCCATGGAAAAGTGGGGCCTATTAATACTCCCTAATGATCCTGCACTTCTTGTTCACTTCGGATGCGTCTTAGCCTTCCGCGCCGTCACCAACGAAGCTACATCTAATGTCTTCAGCTCGTCATGCTAGGGACGTGATAGAAGGGACCTAATAGCACTCCCTAATAGTCCGACACTGCTAGTTAAGCTTGGGGTGTGTCTTGGTGGCGCAACAGAAAATTGATACGCTTTGGGTGGATCCTGGCATGGAGCAATAGAAATGTCGGGCGTAATAGTACTCCCTGATGATCCGGCACTGTCTATTGTACTTTAGGTGGGTTGACAAGGACCAATAGAAATGTCAGGCCTATTAATGCTCCCTGAAGGTGCTTCACTGTTTATTTCGCTTTTGGTAACATTTTAGTGAGGCGCAACGGAAAAATCGTACACTTTGGATGTATCATAGAATGAAGCAATAGAAATGTCGGGCCTATTAGTACTCCCTGATGATCCGGCACTCTTAATTACACTTGGGATGTGTCTTGGTGAGGCATAACAGAAAAGTGGTGCATTTTGGGTGGGTTATGGCATGGAGCAATAGAAATGTGGGGCCTATTAGTACTCCCTGAAGATGCCCAATGAAAAAGTAAGGCTTGTTAGTATTCCCTAATGATCCTGCACAGGGTCGGACTGGGCCGGAAGGGCCCGGGTGGCTGATCGCAATCCCGAGGCCCGAGACTAGATCATGGTGATGGGATACTATCGAAAATTACTGAGATACACAAATTGAGATTCAAACTACAAAAAAAATATTACAATACTAAAATAAAGTAAAATAATAAGTAGGTGTAACCCAACTACAGTAGGTTGCACAGCGTGCTATGGAAAGGGCTATGCTTGGTGTTTCTTTGCGAGATCGAATAAGAAATGAGGAAATCCGTAAAACGAACTAAAGTCGCTGACATAGCCCGACGGATTAGCAAGCTGAAGTGGCAATGGGCAGGGCACATAGTACGCAGAACTGACGGCCGATGGGGCAGCAAGGTTCTGGAATGGAGGCCGCGTACCGGAAGGCGCAGCGTGGAACGTCCACCTACAAGGTGGACCGACGACATCGTAAAGGTAGCAGGGAAACGCTAGACGCAGGCCACTACCAATCGATCAACGTGGAAAGCATTGGGGGAGGCCTATGTTCAGCTGTGGACGTCCTGTGACTGAAATGATGATGATGATGATGATTAATAAGTAGGTACTTACTAATAACAAATAATAATATAAAGCTAGCTAATCAACTTTCTTTTTAAAAGAGGAGAACTTTCAGCTAAGCAGTTAATGACTCGATCGTAAAAGCTGCTGTGGGTCTAGACAAAGTGCAAATTTTAATCGCAAACCAGTCGAAAAGTGGTCGAAAAGCCCCTTTTTTGTATGGAGTTTTGACGGATTCGATTTTCGATTCGATCAAAAAGTGCGTTTTGTCTAGGGGGGCTGTTTTCGTCATCCTTGATTAGATCCGATTCTGTATTTAATACAGCGTGAGTCACGATAAAGTTCACATATGAAATTAGGTGAAACTAGTTCTATTTTTATCGACAAAAAGAGGTCAAAAGTTTTTTGAGTTAATTTTTTTAAATTATAGATTTTTTTTCTTCCAATTACTTATTGTAAAGAAAACGTTATAACTTTTATACTAAGAGGTATATCCTGTAAAAACAGTAATAATGCTAAATAACAGACGATGCTAAAAAAAATACATAAAATACTCAGAAAATGCCAACAAATAATAAAAAATGATAATTTTTGAAAAAAATCTGCTTTTAAATTCGGGTTTTTTTTTGTTATTTGATAAATTTCTCCAAAAATGCCCCTATAACAGGTGGTTTTTATTACTTTGTATTATTCTCTATCGTATTACCTTTGTAAAACCAAAAATCGCTTGTCTCTATCCCTATCACAACATTTGCTATGATCGTTTGAACTAAGCCTCTCTGGGCGCGCCATTCAACGCTTCGTTAACAACGAAACTGAAAATGGCTCTAGATTTGTAATTTTGATAAAGACAAGTTAGATTTCAAATAAAAACCAAAGATTTCGAAGTAAAATAAGCATTTTAGCTAAAATTAAAATTGTCCCTACCTGTAGCGGAGAATAATGTTGTGGTAGGCCTTTGTTCAAACTATCATAGAATATGTTTTGATTTTTGGTTTGACAAAGGTAATACGATAGAGAAGATTTTTTTCAAAAAGTATCATTTTTTATTATTTGATGGTATTTTCTGAGTATTTTTTGGTATCGACTGTTATTTAGCATTATTACTGTTTTTACAGGATATACCTCTTAGTATAAAAGTTATTACGTTTTCTTTACAATAAGTAATTGGAAGAAAAAAAATCTATAATTTAAAAAAATAAACTCAAAAAACTTTTGACCTCTTTTTGTCGATAAAAATAGATCTAGTTTCACCTAATTTCATATGTGAACTTTATCGTGACTCACGTTTTATTTTCTCACAAGTTTTATTTTGCTTTTTTTATGTATTAACATAAAAACCACTTTTCACGCAAATAAACTGATTTGATTTGATTTGATTTAAAAAAAAAGCAAAATAAAACTCCCGTCATTTTCCGAGTATTGCATAATTTATTAGAGGACGCAATTTTATTTTTGGGACATGTGTGGGTCAATGTGGTCAATAGAAGCTTAACCTCAAGTTTTTGGGGTCGCCACTCTTGTCCCCCAACCGCCATCTTGAAAAAAAGGGGTGAAAACACTTTTTTAAGAGTCTTACAAAAATTCGCTATGGCATAATTTGTAGCAAATTGTTTTGCCTACAAATAATATGTTACGAGTATTTCTCAAAAAAAATGTACGTAACGAAACGGTAGTAACGAAATAGTAAGGCCATAAGGCTTGTTATACATTGGCGAAATATTGTGAATGCTCTTCATTTATTCAATTCGAAATATTTGTAAGTATGCACCCAAATACGGGGTAATATTAAGGGGTTAGAAATAAAATAAGGGAGTAATCATTCATACTATTTTAATAAAATTATTTTTGTTCAATCATGTTTATCCAGTTTGAGTCGTTCTCTGTAAGCTTTTTGCCTTTCGGCATTGGTTTTTGGCGGCATTCCTAAAAAAACAGGCGCTTGTCAAGGCGTAATCACACTTCTGACCAAGTCTTTAAGGGTCAATTCCACTTACCAAAGCTAGGAGCAGATCCTAGCACTACCATCACGCTTGTCAGAGCATAATCACCCATCCTACTACGTACTTAAGGTGCAAAGTACTTACCACTGTGGGTGGACAGCAGCGGATCCAAGTATAACTATGATGCTTGTCAAGGTGTAATCAACCTTCGTGCCCTCTCTTTAAAGTACAAAACACTTACCAAGTCGCTGGAAGGATCTTAGCAAGCCAGGTCCTAGCTCACGCTTGTCAAGGCGCAATCACCCTAATTACTACGTTCTTAAGGTTCATCCGACTTACCACAAGCACCAAAGCCATCGAGACACAGGGTTAGTCGACATCTATCAGTTCTTTAAAGGCTGCAACTTCTACAAGACATTATCACCCTTCCCACCACGTTCTTAAGGTTCATCCAACTCACCACTAGCACCAAAGCCACCGGTCCCACGAANCAAAGATTAATTTGTTTCATTTTATTATAGGAATTTTCGTAGTTTTTTTAATATCCGGTATCCGGCCGGATAGTGAGCTACTATCCGGTATCCGGCCGGATAGTAAATTTAGGCCGGATATCCGGCCTACCGGATAGTTGCCGGATATCCGTTTCATCTCTAGTCTAAATATTTGGTAATAAGTAGTATTATAGCTATAATTCTTCATTATTTTAAAGATTAATATTCATCCTTCAAAATTGAGTGTGTGTTTTTTTTGTGTGATGATTTATAAATATAAAACTTTTGAACTGTTTCAAAGCACACTTTTTTTTTTTCAAAATGTACATTTTTTTTTAGAAATACTCTTACATAACTTTTTGTCCTAAATTAAAAATTAGAGAAGTTATACATAAGCAAAAAGGTTTTTTTATTTTAGGCTTATAACTTCTTTAATCTTTAATTTTAGGCAAAAAGTTATACTAACATATTTGTAGGCAAAGCAATTTTCTACAAATTATGACTGTACAATTTTTTTGTACGACGCATAGTTTCTGAGACATGCACGCGGGCAATCGTAGCACAGGGGCCACGCTGCGCGGGCCCAGGCCCCTCTTTCCCACTGGGCACTTTAGGCACGTGCCCAGGGCCCTGCGACCGAGGGGGCCCCCAGTGTTACCAACTCTCAAAAATATTTATTCCTAAAGTTGTGTCAAAACCCCATAAAACCGCCTTAATTATTGAGTTTTCCCCCTAAAAAATATTTACAGTAGACGCTTTATAAAGTTACGCTTTCGGGGGTAGCGTAACTTTAAAAAAACGGACATTCAGAGGCGTGATTATGAGATTTTTTAGCCAATAAATTATTTAATACATGAAATATTTCAAGTCAAGAAATAAATATTAATGTCTCTGTTGGCTACCATTTGTAGGTATATTTATCTTAAAAAAATAACAATAATAATGTTATAAATTTCAAAATATGTATTTAAAGAGTCAAAAAATCCCTAAAAATACCCCTAAAAATTTTAGACCCCTAAAAATCCCATCTCACTTATTTACCCCGTAAATCTGGGGGGAAAACCCCTAAGTTGGCAACACTGGGGGCCCCCGTCTACTAAAAATACCTTTCTCCAGATGATATGGGCCCCCTTGATCTTTAAGTGCCCAGGGCCCCTAATAGGTTAAAGACGGCCCTGCGCGGGCCCTCTGCGTGCTACGGTTGCCGCATGCCCCGCAACCCATGCCCGTGGGGGGCCCGCGCAGGCTGGGGCCCGGCTGGCAAATGCCACCCCGACTGTATGGCCAGTCCGACGCTGATCCTGCACTGCTTGTTGCTCTTCGGATGCGTCTTAGCCTTCCGCGCCGTCACCAACGAAGCTACATCTAATGTCTTCAGCTCGTCATGCTGTTTGTTATTAATGCTCCCTGAAGATGCTTCACTGTTTATTTCACTTTTGGTAACATCTTGGTGAGGCGCTACAGAAAAATGGTGCACTTTGGGTGGGTCATAGGACGGAGTAATAGAAATGCCGTGCCTATTAGTACTCCCTAATGATCTGGCACTCTTAATTACACTTGGGATGTGTCTTGGTGAAGCATAACAGAAAAGTGGTGCATTTTGGGCGAGTCTTGCTTGACATGGAACAATAGAAATGAGGGGCCTATTAGTACTCCCTGATGATGCCCAATGAAAAAGTAAGGCTAGTTAATATTCTCTAATGATCCTGCACTGCTTGTTGCACTTAGGATGTGTCTTAGCCTTCCTCGCTGACACCAGGGAAGCCACATCCAGGGTCTTCAGCTCGTCATGCTGTGCGGCGCCGCGCTGGACGGCGGGCAAGTCCTCGGGCTTGACCACGCCGGCCTGCAGGTAGCCGAGCAGGTAGGGACGTGATAGAAGGGACCTAATAGCACTCCCTAATGATCCGGCACTGCTGGTTAAACTTGAGATGTGCCTTGGTGAGGCGCAATGGAAAATTGGTACGCTTTGGGTGGATCTTGGCATGGAGCAATAGAAATGTCGCGTGATAGAAGGGACCTAATAGCACTCCCTAATGATCCGGCACTGTCTATTGTACTTTGGGTGGGTTGACAACGACCAATAGAAATGTCGGGCCTATTAGTGCTCCCTGAAGATGCTTCACTGTTTATTTCACTTTTGGTAACATCTTGGTGAGGCACAACGTAAAATGTGCATTTTTGGTGGATCTTGGCATGGAGCAATAGAAATGTCGAGCCTATTAGTACTCCCTAATGATCTGGCCCTCTTAATTACACTTGGGATGTGTCTTGGTGAGGCACAACGGAAAATTGATACACTTTGGGTGGGTCTTGGCTTAGAGCAATAGAAATGTCGGGCCTAATAATACTCCCTAAAGATGCGGCACTACTTATGATACTTGGCAGGGAGTAGCTCTTATGACAAATGAAATGACAGGGAAGCCACATCCAGGGTCTTCAGCTCGTCATGCTGTGCGGCGCCGCGCTGGACGGCGGGCAAGTCCTCGGGCTTGACCACGCCGGCCTGGAGGTAGCCGAGCAGGTAGGGCACGTGATAGAAGGGACCTAATAGCACTCCCTGATGATCCAACACTGCTGGTTAAACTTGAGATGTGTCTTGGTGAGGCGCAATGGAAAATTGGTACGCTTTGGGTGGATCTTGGCATGGAGTAATAGAAATGTCGGGCGTAATAGTACTCCTTAATGATGTGGCACTGCTTATTGTACTTTGGGTAGGTTGACAAGGACCAATAGAAATATCGGGCCTAATAATGGTCCCTGAAGATGCTTCACTGTTTATTTCACTTTTGGTAACATCTTGGTGAGGTGCTACAGAAAAGTGGTGCATTTTGGGTGGGTCATGGAGCAATAGAAATGTCGGGCTTAATAGTGTTTCCTAACGATGTGGCACTGCTTATTGTACTTTAGGTGGGTTGACAAGGACTAATTGAAATATCGGGCCTAATAGTGCTCCCTGAAGATTGGTGCACTTTGGGTGGATCTTGGCATGAGGCAATAGAAAAACCGGGCCTATTAGTATTCCCTAATGATCCTGCACTGCTTGTTGCACTTCGGATGCGTCTTAGCCTTCCTCGCTGACACCAGGGAAGCCACATCCAGGGTCTTCAGCTCGTCATGCTGTGCGGCGCCGCGCTGGACGGCGGGCAAGTCCTCGGGCTTGACCACGCCGGCCTGGAGATAGCCGAGCAAGTAAGGCACGTGTTCTTCGACGATCTTCTCACGTTCTTGGGCTACTTCTGAACGCCTGTAAAAGAATATTTGGATTTGAATTGAAATGTCAATTTCACTACCTTGTTTAATATATAGCCTGACCAGGAACATAAAAACCCTGGCACAGAGGCGCTTCAATTGCATTTGATAGTGCAACACTGAGTACAGTCGTACATGTGTTAAATTAATAGGCTAAATTTGTGTATCAGGATTCAGGATTACGGGCTAATTTGATATTTTCATAAATTAACGAAAAATATTATTAAAGATAACCTGGTTTAAATAAATTAAATGAAACCATCAATCGAGCTAGTAGGATTTATTTTATTATTCATCAATAATCAAATTCAGAACATGAATATTCAACTGCAATGTCTGCTCATGAACGCTTCAAACTCGGTACTTCTTTCCCAATTCCATAAAATTCAAAACTTAGAAAGTGACAAAAAACTTTAAAATAGGTAGTTGAAACAGACTACAGCTAATTTTCATAGTGGACTGTACCATACGATAAACATGTCAGTCAATTTGACAACCTTTGTCGGAAACATTATTCAATGAAAATATTGTCCGAACCCTTAGTATTTCTCTTCGACAAATACATTAACACATCGTGAACCACTTTTCTTTCACGACTATAAAAATATTTTAGCAATTTAATTCACGAAATCAATTGCACACATTTAAAATAAAGTTTGTTTACACTTTGACAACAATAGACTGACATGCATGGTGACATGTCAATGAAGTTTTCAGTTACTGTTGCCATTAAAAGAAATTAGTACCATTAGTTTTCCGCAACATGGCGAGGGTTTTTATGTTCCTGGTCAGGCTATACCACGCAATCTTGTATGCCCATTCTTATGATACACCATACAAGAATGCATGGTAAATTCAGTGAACTGCTCCTGAATCGAATGTACCTACTACTACTATTTCTATTTATTTATATTAACCGGCAGACAGTGGTGACTGAGTTTGTTGCGGCGCTTCTTCTCAGCACTTGCCAAATGTTGGTCTCGAAGCGCTGGTAGGGTAAAAAGATTATGAGACATGTAGAGGCTCCTTAAGAGCAAAATGACGATTTGTAAGAACTATTTATTAGTCTAAACAAATAAAGAAATTTTGACTTTGACTTTGACTTTAATGTTATAAATAACGAAATAATAAACGTAGATAATTTTATTGTATTTATGTACCTACTTTATGTAACCTACAATGAGGGTGGCATGATAATTAATTTACAAAACCCTCTCGTTCGTCGTCGTCGTTCGACAAAAATTCTAAAATTGACAAAAGAGCCAATTTACTTTTTTTTATTCATAACAAGGCGGGTATTTGACCACAATCGCACCTGATGTTAAGTGGGATGCAGTCTAGGATGGTACATAATAATATCTGCCCTGTAAGTGCCTAGTCACTTCAGGTGGAATTTGAACTCACTTGGTTTGCAGGACGTTTGCTTCTGACTATTGAGTGAAAGAGACATAGACATAAAGGTTTCGGCAGAGTAAACACCTTTACAAGATGCACGGCAAAGTATCTTTCCGAGCATTGTAAACAAGACTAAAAGACAAATATGCGAAAATCGCACGGGAAGTGCAGATGATATCCTCAATTGGCTATAATTAGCAACTACCTACTGTTATATTGTTATAGAAGAGCGGTGCTTCCTAGCACAAGCAACATCTGTTGCTTAACAGGAATCTCCAACAACTAACTAGGCTAAGTTAAAGAAATAAACGAATTTGAATTAGGTTTAAATCAATTTACTGCNACAGTGGTGACTGAGTTTGTTGCGGCGCTTCTTCTCAGCACTTGCCAAATGTTGGTCTCGAAGCGCTGGTAGGGTAAAAAGATTATGAGACATGTAGAGGCTCCTTAAGAGCAAAATGACGATTTGTAAGAACTATTTATTAGTCTAAACAAATAAAGAAATTTTGACTTTGACTTTGACTTTAATGTTATAAATAACGAAATAATAAACGTAGATAATTTTATTGTATTTATGTACCTACTTTATGTAACCTACAATGAGGGTGGCATGATAATTAATTTACAAAACCCTCTCGTTCGTCGTCGTCGTTCGACAAAAATTCTAAAATTGACAAAAGAGCCAATTTACTTTTTTTTATTCATAACAAGGCGGGTATTTGACCACAATCGCACCTGATGTTAAGTGGGATGCAGTCTAGGATGGTACATAATAATATCTGCCCTGTAAGTGCCTAGTCACTTCAGGTGGAATTTGAACTCACTTGGTTTGCAGGACGTTTGCTTCTGACTATTGAGTGAAAGAGACATAGACATAAAGGTTTCGGCAGAGTAAACACCTTTACAAGATGCACGGCAAAGTATCTTTCCGAGCATTGTAAACAAGACTAAAAGACAAATATGCGAAAATCGCACGGGAAGTGCAGATGATATCCTCAATTGGCTATAATTAGCAACTACCTACTGTTATATTGTTATAGAAGAGCGGTGCTTCCTAGCACAAGCAACATCTGTTGCTTAACAGGAATCTCCAACAACTAACTAGGCTAAGTTAAAGAAATAAACGAATTTGAATTAGGTTTAAATCAATTTACTGCTTGTACTACCAGCGCCCTCTGCGCTGATTTTGGGTAAATTCTCTGATTTGACGAAAAAATTACGCTAGCATACAGAATCTATAAGAGAATCGCGGATTAATAGCTCACAGAATCATAATAGCTAGTGGTATCAACTAAAGTAAGGCCAACGAGAAGCGACACCAAATGTAAACAAACCCAATGTCATATCTTTAACGGTAACTATGACGATAACCGGTGCTTTTTGTATGGAATTTGTCAGATTTTTGACGTTTGTCAAAGTTAAAGTAAGATGGTGCAACCCAGCCGAAGGGTTTGACTGTGACATATTTTGGCGCGAGAACGAGACATTACGACAAATACACAAGATGGGAAGAGACAGAATAGATTGTCAATTTTCGAAAGTCGCATCGACCTTTTGTATCGCTTCTAGTTGGCCGTACTTTAGCTAACTTACGCCCGTATTCACAAACGATACTTGCTTAAGTGAAGCAGCAAATCGAGCGCACATCGTTGAATAGAGCTCTGTGATTGGTGCATGTGTCACCCTGTGCGTCCACGCGCACTGTGAGACCTCATAGTAATGTTCGTGACGTTGAATAGAGCTCTGTGATTGGTGCATGTGTCACCCTGTGCGTCCACGCGCACTGTGAGACCTCATAGTAATGTTCGTGAATACGGGTGTAATAGGGATGTTTCCTGGGTCAGAAAGCAAGAGTTTTAATTAGTCCGTCAGTTAACTTATCAAAAAATACTCTACACGTATTTTCACTTTTACAAACTAATGAAAATTGAAAGAGATAAAGCGCGCCAAAGTTCATAAGAAGAGGCCCGTGACGTCAATGCGTGCATAAAAGTGCCGCACGTTGTGACGTCCGTGCGGAACTTCAACGCACCATAACTATGTAATTATTTGTTAGATTGATAAATAAAAATATATGTGTCCAATATTTTTTTATATTAAACATGACGGACTAAAAAAAATTTTTTAGGATACTAGCCTATTCCCGCAGGTAAGTACTCACCAGTTCTTGTCGTGGTCCCAAACTTGCTTGGCGCGGTTCTCCTCCAAGACGCGGTCTTTCTCGCGTCGCGCGGCGTTACTCTGAATTTGTTTCAGTAGTTCGGTGGAGTAAGAGTATCAACTAGCTAACTTATTCCCGCAGGTAAGTACTCACCAGTTCTTGTCGTGGTCCCAAACTTGCTTGGCGCGGTTCTCCTCCAAGACGCGGTCTTTCTCGCGGCGCGCGGCGTTACTCTGAATCTGTTTCAGTAGTTCGGTGGAGTAAGCTCGGTTCTTTTCTCACTATGGTACTCACCAGTTCTTGTCGTGGTCCCACACTTGCTTGGCGCGGTTCTCCTCCAAGACGCGGTCTTTCTCGCGGCGCGCGGCGTTACTCTGAATCTGTTTTAGAAGTTCGGTGGAGTATGCGCGATTCTTTTCCCTTTTCTTTCGCTCTTTATCGCGCTCTTTCTCGTTTTCAGCGGCCATTTTTGCTTCGCTCTGAAATGGGGAATTAATTTTCATAAAAAAATTATATTTGTTCCTATGGCATGGAACGATTATGCTCAACCAAATTAATACAAAGGCTGGGTTGCGCCATCTTACTGTAACTTTGACAAATGTCAAAAATCTGTCAAACTCCATACAAAAAGCACCGGTCATTGTTAAAGTTACGGTTAAAGTAAGTTGGTGCAATTCAGCCAAAGTGTTACCGATTGAATACTATTATACGACAACAGTTTTTGTAAATGAATCCCCACTATTTTTACCCACTTTTTCTCTTACACTTCTAAATAAAATATCAACTCCTCTATTGTCTTACCTCCTTCCTAAATACAGCTTCTTTCTCCCTCTGCTCCAGTCGCTTTCTAGTATCCATTTGCGCCGTAAGAGCTGATTTGGTATCCGTTCTCACTCGCTCCTGCTTAGTTCGCACTACTATGACGCCTTCTTCTCTCACTAAATACAGTGTTGCTATAGTCTGGTCTGCGAGCACGTAGAATGTGGTCCAATGACCCCAAGCTACCCATCGTAATTATGTTGCTGTCGCGCTCGCACACTCACTGCGGGCGCGCGTCGCACAGTCGCGACAGCAATATAATTACGCGCGAGCGATAAGGATGGGTAGCTTGGGGTCATTGGACAAAATTCTACGTGCTCACAGACCGGGCTTTAGCCTCATCTTACCTCCTTCCTAAATTCAGCCTCTCTCTCCCTCTGTTCTTGCGCCAGTCGCTTCCTGGTATCCATCTGAGCTGTAAGACCTGACTTGGTATCCGTTCGCACGCGCTCCTGCTTAGTTCGCACTACTATTTTATCTTCTTCTCTCACTAGAAAATAGTGTTGCTACCCTTGTCTTACCTCCTTCCTAAACTCAGCCTCTCTCTCCCTCTGTTCTTGCGCCAGTCGCTTCCTGGTATCCATCTGAGCTGTAAGAGCTGATTTGGTATCCGTTCGCACTCGCTCCTGCTTAGTTCGCATTACTATGACGCCTTCTTCTCTCACTAAATACAGTGTTGCTATAGTCTGGTCTGCGAGCACGTAGAATGTGGTCCAATGACCCCAAGCTACCCATCGTAATTATGTTGCTGTCGCGCTCGCACACTCACTGCGGGCGCGCGTCGCACAGTCGCGACAGCAACATAATTACGCGCGAGCGATAAGGATGGGTAGCTTGGGGTCATTGGACAAAATTCTACGTGCTCACAGACCGGGCTTTAGCCTTGTCTTACCTCCTTCCTAAATTCAGCCTCTCTCTCCCTCTGTTCTTGCGCCAGTCGCTTCCTGGTATCCATCTGAGCTGTAAGAGCTGACTTGGTATCCGTTCGCACTCGCTCCTGTTTGGCACGCGCGGCGATATCGTCTTGGACGTTCTTTTCTAAGAACTCTTGTTCTTGAAGCATCTTTATTATGTTCTCGCGGTCTTGACGGGCTGCCTGAAGAGAAAAGAAAGTAGTCAAGTTTGAGTCATATTGCTATAAGTATAAGCACCTTAAAATATGTTTGATAGGATTTACCTCATCTGCTAATATTTTGGCAGCAATTTTCTGGTTCAGTTCTTCTTTCATACGCATCTTGCGCTCCCTTTCGGCAATTCTGACAAATTAGTAGAAGATTAAATATCAGTTAAATTAAACTGGAGATGAAACAAGATATTTTTATAAAATGATGAAATTATGATAATGATATTTTTATGATATTATTATTATGATATTTTTGACTTTTGACTTGAGACACTGCGGTATTTCGGACGTGAGTATATGGCGAAGCTTTCCGAACGCTGCCCATCCGAGTTGGATTCGACGATTGACCTCAGTTGAACCTACCTAACTGGACTGTTTGTCCCAGGTATACATAATTGTCAACAACTTCGAGTGTAGTCTCCAACCTTCTGAGGAGTGGGTGCAACACGGACATTAGACATCTTCGACCAATGTGTGTTGCCAGTGATGGTATACGGATCTGAGACGTGGTCGCTTACTATGGGCCTCATAAGAAGGCTCAAGGTCACCCAAAGGGCGATGGAGCGGGCTATGCCCGTAGTTTCCCTGTGTGATCGAATCAGAAATGAGGAGAACCGCAGGAGAACCAAAGTAACCGACATAGCTCGCAGAATTGCTAAATCCAAGTGGCAGTGGGCGGGGCACATAGCTCGTAGAGACGATGGCCGTTGGGGCAAGAAAGTTCTCGAGTGGCGACCACGGGCTGGGAGACGTAGCGTGGGCAGGTCTCCTTCTAGGTGGACCGACGATCTGGTAAAGGTCGCGGGAAGAGCCTGAATGCGGGCAGCGCAGGACCGTTCATTGTGGAAAACCTTGGGGGAGGCCTTTGTCCAGCAGTGGACGTCATTTGGCTGAACGAACGATATTTTTGAATAAATACTTTTGGTTTTGAACACCAGCACTTACATAGCAGAGCTTCTGTCAGCAGCAGCTTGCCTCTGCTGCTCGATCTGGCGCTCCTCGATGACGACCATCTGCTTCTGCTTCTGCCGCCACGCTTCTCTCGCCTTCTGAAACGTCACCATCTCGCGCCGCATCTTTTGCATCTGGTCGTGCTTCTGTTGGAGTTCTCTGGAATTTATTGAAGTGTTTTGAGGGTTAATAAAAACAAAAAATCCTCTAAAGAGTCAGCCAAACCAACGCGATCACACGCGATCAGCCGGCGTGCAGCGATGGCTATCAGACTTAAATGCATTGATCGCTATCGCTGCACGCCGGCTGATCACGTTCGTGTTTCATGTGATCGCGTTGGTTTTGCTGAACCTGTGCTATGGAATGAATTTTTGCACCCTCAAACATGTGCTTTTAACAGTGTATAAATAAAATAAAGATTTAGTTCATCAACATCAGCTCATTTAGTCTCTCTAATGTACAGGAAGCGAATGGAGATTTTGGCCTACACTCCCCATTTTGGCTAAAAGGGGTTTTGTTAAGAATTTATAACATTAGTTTCAATGACTTCAGATTATAAATGCATAAGACTATAAGAAGAAAAGATAAACAAGACATCTGTATTAATGATGTTATCACAGAATTATACAGAAATGTAATTAGCATCAGCCAGTTTGACCCATTACCTCTTATCCTCATCAGAAATGGTCCTCATGATCTCATCCAGCATTTTCTTCTCAATCAGCGAGTCTTCATATTGGCACTGCTTCTGGCGCTGCCTGTTGACTAACTGCTGCTGTAACTCCTTGCAGTACCGGCTGTTTCTTTCCATCTTCTCTCTCTCTTCTCTTTCTTTAGCTTCGTGATCGTTATACAGAGCGTTGCGGAGAACAAAGTTGGCGTGTTGCTCTTCTGCCTATAGTTGTCGTTTTTATTAAGTTACTGTTTGCAGAATTATGTTACAGATTCTTAAATAATAATTATTTATTTATTTCTCTCACAACAGATCAGTAACATAACATTTTGGATATAATATCTATTTAACTATAGATCAGCATTGTGAGAGCTGGTGCCTATTGAAGATTTTAAGAAAATCTGTATTACAGGTAAAATTTCCAAATGAAAAATCATTTGCATATTGCAAGTCTACAATGAAGACAGTTGCAGTAGATACTAGTTGTAGTAGATAAAAATAAATGATTGCATAGATAAGTTCAGAGAAAAGCAATTCAACTTACCACTATCCAGTATCAGACTTGGAAAGCATTTAAAACATAAATATTCAATTATTGTAACTGTTAGAGTTGTCATTGTAATAATAGACTGAAATAACTGGCAGACCACAACTACAAAAGTGTGTTTCTGCTTAAAATAATACTACAAATTATCGTCAAAAACCTCAGAAGTATCAAAAACACAATTTTTCAGGAAAGACAAAAATACCGTCATCTCCTGAATAGGTTTTCTACTTATTACATTAAAAAGTGTTTTTGGTAAAAATTCGACTTACAAGGTTTCACTCATCACCAATGATATTGTTATGTTATTGATTGATATCTTAAGTTCTTAACAAACCTTGTCCTGCAGTCTCTTGTACTCATTATTCTGAATCTGCTGTCTCAGATCTCGGCAGACGTAACCGGCCTGCAACTTCTTAAACAGCTCCCTCAAGCTGGGGTCTCTCTCCCGTAAGTAGTGCCTCCGTAGGAGTTCGCAGGCCTCCTCCCGACGGACCTTGGCTACCTCGATGCCGAGGGCTGTCTCTTTCTGAGCCCTGGCATTGACTATTGCTGCATGGTCAGTTCTCTGAAATATTTGAATAGTAACTTAAACTTTATAGTTTAAAGCCAAACAAAAAACACACCATGAAATTGGAGGTATATCTCACTTCATAAATCGTAAAGTATGACCCCTAAAATAAATATAAATATAATAACTCCTATAAAAAACTATTTTTATAGGTCCATGTTTATCACTTCATAAAATAAGCTGCATTTAGATAGTAAAACAAGCTGATTCTTTACTTTACCCAGTCAAGAAAGGGGAAAAAAGTGTTGTCCCTATTATTATATTATAGATATTGGCTATGTGATAGCTTTTCTCAGGGCACTTATGCCAAATACCTTACAGCTTGCCTTCTACTTTGATACCACTACTGTTTTGATGTCCAAAAGTGAAGCAAACGGAATTCATTAACAGGCGATTGTGTAGCACCGTTTTAGCCTGTCACATCACAGCCAATAAAAAGATTTTACCTCCTGAAAATCCTTCTCCATCTCAGCCTCGCGTTGTATGAGCGCCAGGCAGCGGCCCATCCTGCCGTCTTCCATCCGGCTGTTGAGCCATTGGATGTCCAGGGCTCGCTGGAACGACTCCAGCTCTTTGCGGCGGGCTTCGGCGATGAAATTCCTTTGCAACTCCGTTTTTCCCTCCTGAAAAAAAGTTATAAAACATCAATACTCCATCCACGTCCACGATGATACGATTGGTGAATTTAGGGTATTTCGCCGAAACAGTAAATTTTCTGTGTCCAGGCAGGCGAACACATGTTTTTTTATATCTATCTGTATAAAACTATTTTTATGGGAAAGTTCATCAAAAGTTTTATTTGTTTTTGCTATTACAATAGCAGAAACTACAAATAATACCGTGGAAAAACTTAATCAAAAGTCGTTTTTCTAATTTCCTTGTCATGTCCATTACTGTTGTTTGCCAAAATGAAGGCTCATTATAACAAATTGAAGCGTAATTTAATTCTAATAGCACTCTCTTTACATTTGAGAAACATTTGGCTATCGGAAAATAAAAACTTTAAATGTCAAATACTTATAGGAAGAAAATAAAGTGAAGTTAAGTTCTTGTCCAGGTCAAAAGTATAATTTCCCTGGGTCTTCGTTTCGACCATTGTTGTAACGAAACGAAAAAACTTAGAATGTAACGCACTGCACCACTACACTCGGCCATTTCGTCCCAAGAGGCCATTGAGGCAGGACAGCACGTCGTTGATCAGTTTCGCGACAAATCGCATAAATAGGTCCCTCCTTGGGTTTTTGTTTACTAAAAAGTCAATTTCTTTGGACGGTTTTTTGCAACTAAACAATGGATTAATTTTATTGTTTATTTACACAAATGTAGTGTCTGTAGGGGTAAACCCATGATTTAAATAGTAAATGTATAGGGTAAATAGGTTTTTGTCTGTGGTGTCTTTTAGGCATAAATCTAATTTCTTTGGTCCTAATTTCCTTGTTTTCCGTGGCATAAAATGACCTAGGAAATTATAAAAGACCATTAATAATTCGGCGTAAAGTCAAATTTTGAGTATTTCTTTATTGGAATAAGTTTAAAATTTACATTTTAAGAAATAGGTATCAGAATAGATATAGAAAAACTTGTTTTTAACTATTAACTCAATCTACTGCATTTATCTCCCTTAGTTGTGTAAAAAGGTCGTAATGATATAATATTCATTGGCATGTTTGCTTGCGAAAGTACACAAAAATAGGTCGAACAAAAAAAAAGCAAACCACAGAAGAAAACTTAGAGAAAAAAATATTTATAATAATTTCCTTGGCTACCAAAAATTTATGACCTCATAACTTTGTTTCTAAAACGAATTATGACACCCCTTCTAGATATATTAGCTTAGTTTTTACTACTTAATGCAATGGGAAACTAAAAATAGTTAAAAACAAAAATAAAATTAGTGCCAAGGAAATTAGGCAAAATTGACCATTTTTGGCGAAATACCCTTTAAGTGTTTCTCGTAAAAACTTACCATCACTGTATGATTAAACAACAAAAGTTGATACTATTGAACAGGATCGAGAATTAGGAATGTAAACCGCTTGAAAAAACTATGTAAAATTATGTAATACTAGCTGACCCGGCGAACTTTGTTCCGCCTTAATGGCAATAAATAACGGGATAAAAAGTATCCTATGTCCTTCTCCTGGCTCTAAACTACCTCCCTGACAATTTTCAGCTAAATCGGTTCAGCCGTTCTTGAGTTATAAGCGAAGTAACTAACACGACTTTCTTTTATATAATAGAAGATCTCTGAAAACGCAAATTCTGTGATTACAAACAAAAGTAACAAAACACAACAACAATGTGGACAGCTGACACATTGACAGTGACAGATAAATGACAAATCAGAAATCAATAAAAAAATGAAGACTGGAGAGGACTGCATACTTTCTATTGTTAATTTATTTTATTATAACGGATTTTTATTAGTACCTTGATAAATCTTTTAAAATAAATTAAATATATTCCGTAATAAAAACATTAAAAACAGTCAAAGGAAAATAACATTATAACTGCCATCTATTGCGTAATGACTGTACTACGTTGCAACAAACTATCACAGGAAACCGTCAGCGGGGCGCTAGTGTCCGATTCGCCTGTCATTCGGTGAAGTTCGGCACGGCAACAGCACGCATTTGGAATTTGACGTGTGACGTCTAACAGCTGCAGCCAAAAATTCGGTTGCAGATTGGTGGTGTATAGAAATAAAGACAGTCGGTAATGAAATAGTGATTAAAATGGCAGAAAGTAAAGGTGCGCTAATTGCGAAATCAGTGCAAAAACATGCCGGACGAGCGAAGGAAAAGGTATTTATAGTTTTTCAAATTTGTTGTTTTGAGTGCCCCTACTCGAAGGTTTTGGTGTTTTGAAAACCCTGGTCTGCGAAGTACTGTGAAAGTTGATCTGAGACGGTCATGGGACACTCCGTATTAGTTCCTCGGACTCATTTATCCGGTTTTCGTGCAAGTGGAATTTCACCTGTTGCTTTTTAATTCCGGGCAGGTGACCTACCTGTATTTGTCTGACTATTTATCTCTAGTTCCTCTACTTCTGATAAGCACGAGTACTAATTTTTAATAAGAATCCCGCGCTTCATGTTCCAGGGTAATCCTGATAGCTATTAATAGTCTTTAGCAGATAATTTTGGATTGAACTGTGAATGTTAAAGGTTTTAATGACATAATTACTATTTTCTTGTCCGCACTGTCTGAGCAGTCACCTATTAATTTGCTACAGAGCCTGTGTTATAATAAGAAGCATTTCTAGGGAAGTGGCAGGATTTAAAAATAACACAGCCGGTAGAGACAGTGAACGGGGACACCCGAACACCGTTCTACTTTCGCAGAAATAATGTTTGTGATTTAAACCCATCTATTTTTATTTAAACATGTCTTTGGCCACTATATTTTAGACCTGCAATTTGTCATTGAGGGAAGATCCAAATATTTTATCAAAAAGTTAGATAGTTGTGCAGGAATTCAGTGTTATTTTAACAATTTGAAAACAATTTAATTTGTGATTTCCTCAAAAGATTATTGTCCTCGTTTGATGGCAGTATTTTCCTTTAGATTAAAACCCATTGAATCAGCCACCATCTGGTTTAAAACTGACATCAATTTACCTCAAAACAATAATTTAAATATTAACTCTAATATTGTTTATCTGAATAATTAATTGATAACAAACACTAATTGTTTAATGATTCAAAATTTGATTAAATTAGGTTAATGTTTTTGTCAAATTCCAAATGTTCTCAGTGTGTTTATGCACAGAATAAATACTTAACTACTTCGTTTAAGAAAAATGAAGTACCTATGTACAAGTGTTACTCATATGCAGTATTCTTTAAATACACTATGTGTCTTTAAATTTTAAGTTCATTCTCAGAATAAAATAAATATTTACTACCTAGTAACATTCAATGTAGGTAGGTACATTGACATTTATTGAGTTTAACTTGAATTTCAAACAGATTTCAATTTGATTAGAGAATAATCCATTAAGTTTGCAATTTAAACTTAATCAAAAACTTTAAATTTTTGAACACCATTTACACAAAAACTGTACCTATGTAGGTAATTGTGTATTCTGTGAATGTAATTGAATTGAAAACAATTGGCTACATATTTCCTACAGTTTGTAGAGTTTGCTTGATGAAAACTTTGGAAACATCCTACTAAGTTTTGATTAAACAATTTGTTTTAAATTCAAATTCAAATTCGTTTATTTCTTTAACTTAGCCTAGTTCAGTTACAAGTTGTTGGAGCTTCCTGTTAAGCAACAGATGTTACTTGTGCTAGGAAGCACCGCAATTCAACAATAGGAAATAGTACAATACACCCACGGTTTTCTGACCTATGTCATTTTAAATTTAAAAGGTCAAGACGCCCTTTTAGCGATTGTTCTTAAGCAATCGCCTTCTGTAAGTGTCAGTTCTGTTCCATGGGCATAGACAGACATCGCGTGCCGTGTTTTTGTCTTAATTCAGTAAAAAAGTTACCTAACCACGCAAACGGAGTCGCAAGCGCAGCCAGTACCGTCCAATTGATTCACACAACCTGTTGTAGTGCAGTGGGCTAATGACCCACGTTGGCAGTGGGCCATTCGCCTCCGGAACGCAGCATTGGTATTAACTCCACCTTAGCATTCGGTGTACACTCAAACCTCTAATTAGCTGGTTTATTGCTCCTTATCCTGCATTAAGGGCTATATTTGGCTGGAGCAGAAATGCCCTTGGATTTCTGGTCCAGAAAAACCCGGACGAAATATGTAGTCTCGGGACAAATACTTTCGGTGTCCGTTTCATCGCCATTTGACAATGACCAAGGACTCTTTCTAAACCATTTCAGTCAATTTAGAATTTGGTCTTCTATATTCTGTCTATTTTCTGTCTTTCTGGCAATATTTTGTGTGTGACAGATAGATCGGAAACATTTTTGGAACAGTCTCGGAAGTTTTCCTTGAAGTGCCTCTTCCTCCTTTCGGCTCTATGTAATCCTTACAAACTGACTAATTTCTAAACACTCCATCCATCCAAGGCCAGCGGAGAGTATGTAACCTCCTATTGTTGCACACATTAGAAAAGAGGACAAAGTATCGCTCTTATCTGAGGCACCTGCTACAAACTCATTTTGCAGAGGCCACCGATTTAACGAATTTTACCATATGCTACAAAGTAAATTTTAACTACTCCACTACAATTAAAATTCACTAAAATTCTAATGTCGTCATCACCATCTGAATAGTCATCATCAGTCTTTACCTGTGTAAACCAAACGGTACTATTACTTATTCTGTGACCAAACTGTGCCTATAGCTCGATATTCAGCCAATATTTCCTGCCTGAAACTTACCTCCGTATTCACTGATTTTCCCTATTCTTTGGAAAATTTTCTCCTAACACCTTTAAAGTAATAATTTATGACTTATTAACGCACCTTTCGAAGATTTACAGACCAGTTAAAAACCTGTACGGTATCTCAACAATATAACTTTCCCGTAGACCGTAATGACGTTATAAATGTCGTCAATATATCTATTTTGCGCAGTTGTAAGAATTTCATACTTTAATGGCCGAACCTCGCCGACCATGCTCATAAACAGACGCCAGAATTCCACATGGCGCAAATAATAATATAAAATGTACGATGGCATAACTGTTTGTTTACATGCGTCCATGGCCCAGTATTTCTAATCGTTCGTTGCTGTAAGTTGCAAGAAAACCTCATAATGTTTATGTAAAAATATGGATACCAAAGTACACACTGTGTCAGAGGTCCTCAGTTCAGTTTCATTCACGCCCATGAACTTTATCCTGGTTAAAAAATCTTGAACCGCAAAAACATTGTTTTTGACAAATTGCTTGCATGTATTCATAATTATTTCAAGGCATCTTAGCATTGTATTAAGTAACACTAAAAAACGTAATTCGTATTATTAAAGAGGACTATTCAAGTAACACTGCCACCAAATCCAGGTACTAGACTTTTAGCTGTATTTCGTAGTTTGTTGGAGTCTTGTCAAATTTTTTCTTTCTTTAAAAGGTTCTGCAAATTTTGTAAATCAAATATTTGCTCTTTCACAGCCTTATACAGGCGTTCCTTAAAATATTTCCCTGTACTCCTATCTAATCTAAAAACAAATACTGTGACGTTTTTAATTAAAACAAAATAGTGTACATGCAAATTGATAACATTTCCAATTGTTTCATTCGTATCAGTTCTGTGTGTTCTGGTCGCTTTAACCCAATAAATGGCCCTGTTATCATTTCATTTAGTCTGTATAACCAATAAAAATGGTTCAATGCCATTATTATGATTCATATTAGTCGTAAAGTGTAGTTTATAAGATTATTAGAGCTATAGTCGTACTTTGACCTCACTAACACTAATCGCTAAAGAAGGGGTGTTAGTTTAAAGTTCACACCATTTAATTTTGATGAATAAAACACCGTTTGCCCGGCAGGCAATCCCTAGTTGCATAAGGCCTCTGCACGCCCCTGATATTCTAACTATCTCTTCAAATAGCAGCCTACCATTATTGTGTCTTGTTCCTTGGCTGTTCTTGTTCCTTCGCTTCCCCCCCCGCCCCGCACGGTGTAGTGCTAGCGTACGGAGCTCTCGGGAGTTTTTGCTTATAAAAATAGATAAATCGCTTATAAGTGTTTGTGAGTGTAATAATCGGTTTGTATGTGACACGAACTACGGAAACTGTAAGTTATTCTGTTTATTTATCGCCTCGTTTGTGTTTTCTGGTTAAATATTCGGTGAGTAAACATCTTTTTTATTTTCTCTCGTTGTGGGTGTTTGATAAAATCGGCCCGCGCCAACCGAGGTGGCGGGTCGACCGTAANCATTGGTTGGGTTTGTGTGGCGGTCAAGCTGTAGATCCTGGCTACACAGGAGTTGCAGTGGTGGGAACGAGAGGTGGGAATATTTTTTTTGTTCCTTGGCTGGCTCCACACTGTTTCAATGAAGTGTGTCAAGTGAAACTTACACGGCTATGATATGAATTACATGGCTATTTTCAAAAACATTGTTTAGTAACTTTCCAATAAACATGGTTTATAGCAGTTGTTCACCATCACTTTTATTACCGTTTTCACCTATCGCCGAGATGCGGTCAAACATAAAGTTGTTGTAAAAAAGTAGGATAATATCTAGGTTAGTAGTAGTACACATAACACACCAGTGGCAAATAGAGCTGCAATATAATACTTGACGAGCATACCGTGACAACGGCGGAATCGTTATGAGTGTTATTAACACTGATACGGCAGTTAAAGACATAGTAATAGACGTTAAATTAACTATCACGCTTACATGACTTAGTTTGCATTTTTTATTACAACATTTTCTACCTTTGACGCCTCCTTGGCTTACTTGACAAGTGAATTAAATATCAAGGTTGCTTCCAGCGTGACTAATGTTGCGTAGCGACATCATACCAAGAGTAAATTCATTGTCAGTCACTCCAAAATTCACTCGACCCATAAACATACTTTCGGGATTTCAGAAAACATTAGAAGTATAGAATAGAAAAAGAATCAAGTGCATCTGTCACGATTCTAATCGGTTTAGGATTAACCACAGTTCTAGAACTGGTAAGTTCAGTTACCTACCTACATTTGAAGAGATCATCTAAGCACCATAACAGTTGAGACGACCAGACTTGTTTAAACAGAGAATTCGAGTCAACTTGTTAACTCCTAAATTCCTAACTAACCCACAGCTGAAACTTTAATGAGCGTTTCTTTAAAAACTGCCATTTTTGTGTTTACGTTTAGGTACGAACGAGATGGATAATT